CAGAGAGACATGAGAGACAAGGGACATGTGAACCAAGAGACATGAGAGACGAGCGACATGTGAACCGAGAGGCACGAGGGCAAGTGAGGCGAAAGACGTGAGACACGAGCGACATGTGAACCGAGAGACATGAGAGACGAGCGACATGTGAACAGACAGACATGAGACACGAGTGATATATGAAACAAGAGACACGAAGGCAAGTGAAGCGAAAGACATGAGACACGAGCAACGTGTGAATCAAGAGGCATGAGGGGCATGTGAACCAAGAGACATGAGAGACAAGCGACATGTAAACCGAGCGACATGAGAGATGAGCGACATGTGAACCGAGAGACATGAGAGACAAACGACATGTGAATCAAGAGACATAAGGGCGTGTAACCTTTTTGATTTTTGTTATTTTTCGGACCGTCCGTATATTTTAAAACGGACGGTCCTAATATCGAGAAACGGACCGTCCGATGTGACGTTTCGGAACCTTGCCACCGTCCGGAGAGAAACATGACACTTTTTGCCAGTACTCCGACTTCGCGACTGCTTTAGTCTCGCGTAGCTCCCGCGAAAGTCGTAACCAAATACACAAGCTGTCGCAAGAAAAATTCGTTTGCCAATCCCTGCGCAGGTTTGCAGAGTGAAATTCGCCCGCCAATCCCTGCGCACAAATGGCGGACCGTCCGTTTGGGTTTCGGACCGTCCGAATGCACATTTCGGACCATTGGAAACGTGAAAAAGTGTCATGACGGTTCGGAATGTTGGCGACGTCGCAAGGAGTTCCACGTCTCAGAAGAACTAGGCAAGAATGAATGAACTAGCAGAAGTTTGGGTACAAATATGAAACCCTAGTTGGGGTTGTACCCCATATTGGCTACCCCACTACAGCCTACAAGCATAATACAGTTTAACACACCCCCATAGGCAAAGTGGGGGAGAACAAAGGGTCACAAGACCAGTCCAGCAAAGCAAAGCAAAGCCCAGGGTGGATCACAACGTCACCACACTCCGAGCACAAGTAAAGGCCACAAGGCCAGTTCACATGCAGTGCTAGATATAGTACAAGACAAGCAACATAGTGATCAAAACCTAGCAAGCAAGCAACAAGATATATATAAAGTACAGTACAAAGAATGTCAAGCAGTGAGCAAGTGAGGAAATGTGGACACAAGGCCTAAAGAAGTACAGTGCCGCTGATGATCACTAGGCGGGAGCGCCTTGGTGAAGATATCAGCAGTGTTGGCCTTCGAGTCCACGTACACAAGCCGAAGCTGACCGCGCTGCTGAAGCTCTCGAGCAAGAAAGTAGCGAAGAGCAATGTGCTTCGTCCTGTGCTCCAGTCTGTGCTCCTGACACAAGGCAAGAGCCGCCTTGTTGTCACCGTACAGAACTGGAGGAGAACTAGGCCGCTCTCCCAAGTCAGTCAGCAGGTAGGTGAGCCAGCGTAACTCCTGTGCAGCCATGGCTGTGGCGTAGATCTCAGCCTCACAACTAGAGCCGAGAACAGAGGAAGAGCGGGTGGACCGCCACGAGACAGAACCTGAGCCAAGGCTGAAGGTGTAACCCTGTGACGACCGCTGCGTAGCCAGGTCGTCCACCCAAGAAGCGTCCGAGTGACCAGTGAGGACAACTCTGTCGCGTCCTCCAAGCACCAGCCCCATGCCTGATGTACTGCACAAGTAACGCAGCACCCTCTTAGCAGCCTCCCAGTGCTCTCGCCTGTGTCTCCCAGGCGCAACGTAACGAGCAAGGATGCTAAGAGGGTACGCGAGGTCAGGTCGCGTGCAGGTCATCAGGTACATGAGGCAGCCTACAAGCTCTGGGTACGGGCCACTCGGCTCTACGGACTCGTCCGAAGGTGGAGCTGAGAGCGAGTGGCTGGTAGCCAGAGGTGTGGCCTGTGGTGAGGAGAACTGGAAGCCGAAGCGCTGAAGGACCTGCTGCACCATGTGTGACTGAGTCAGGGTGATGGTGCGGCGAGCTCTGTCCCGGGTGATCTGCAAGCCAAGGTAGCTACGCAGTTCACCCAGGTCAGTGCAGGTGTGTCTCTTCTGCAGCTCCGACTTCACACGAGCGAGTGCCTCAGTGTCAGCAGTAGCAAAGACCAAGTCGTCGACGTACACGAGAATGTAGAACGGCGGCAGCGACGTGTCTGTGCGCAGAAACAGCGACGGGTCAGCAGTAGACGGCGCGAACCCAAGAGCCGCAAGTGTAGTCCTCAGTGTGTCGTGCCACTCACGTGGCGCCTGGCGGAGACCGTAGACTGGCCGGCGGAGACTCCACTGGGTACCAGGGGGAAACGACCCAGTAAAGCCAGGTGGGCGGCGCAGCCAGATCTCCTCATGCAGGCTGCCCTGCAGGAACGCTGTGCTGAAGTCAAGAGAGTGAAGCTCGTAGTCACGCTGAGCAGCAACGTGCAGCAGAACCCGAAGAGTGGTCATCTTCGGGGTGGGGGAGAAGGTCTGGAAGAAGTCGACCCCCTGACGCTGACTAAAGCCTCTAGCAACGTAACGAGCCTTGAAGACAGGCGGAGAACCTGGCGGCCGCTTCACCCTGAAAATCCACATGCCATCGACGATGTTCGCCCCAGGAGGGGGAACCTCGTCGACGTAGGTGCCTGTGGACTTCCAGGATGCCATCTCTGCGTCCATGGCTGTCTGCCACTGAGAGGAGTAGGGACCCGAGATCGCCTCTGCGTAAGTGCGCGGAGTGGGGATGTCTAGTGCATCCGGGTCTCCCTCAGGGGCAAGCAACCAGGCCACGAGATGAGGTACAGCAGCCGCAAGAGAGTCAAAGTCCTCCTGCCTGTCCTCAAGGACGTCCGTGCCAAGAGCACACTCACCCCCGACGGACGGAGGACAGACAGACGCAGACTCTGACTCAGCAACAAGGCTAGCAGCGTAGTCTAGACGACAGGCAGCAGCAAAGTCAACCAACTCAGCGACCAGAGCAGACGCAGCCGAGGACTCAAAGGTAGGGTCAGTGACAACAGTAGCTAGGAGACGCGTGACTGTAGGGTGCTCAGCGCGATACCGGTCAGACTCAGGGTCCGGAACGGCAGGCAAAGAGGACTCAGGAGGAGACGGTAGAGGGACACGCCGAGGAGCAGTAGAGGGACGCAGAGTCATGTAGTGAGTGCCTGGGACAGGAGGAGGACGCTCACGACGGACACGACTACCAGTGCGAGCAGGACGAACAGGCAACGCAGGACGAGACTCAGGCTCACGACGCTCTGTAAGACCTCCTGTGGGACCAGCGTAAGGAGAGGGAGCAGGGAGAGGCGAGGCAGGCGGTAGCTGTGACTGCGGCTGGACAGGCGGAGGACACTCCACGGAGGGAGGAGGACAAGGAGGAGGAGCCTGCCCAAGAACCTGCTGAAGGAGCGGTACGAAGTACGGTCGCGGCCGCGCAGCGTCTCCAGAAGCAGAAGAGACTCCAGCGGCCGGGTCCTCAGGACCAGCAGGAGCTCCAACGTCCGGGTCCCCAGTACCAGCAGCAGCGCCACCGCTCGGGTCCTCAGCTCCAGCAGCAGCTCCACCAGGCGGGTCCGCAGCACCAGCAGCAGCGCCACCCCCAGAGTCGGCAGCTCCAACTCCGCTAGCACCGCCAGCGCCAGAGTCCCCAGCTCCAGCAGCTCCAGTCGCAGTGCTCCCAGAACAACCAGTCCCGGCAGCTCCAGTACCCCCAGTACGAGCACCCCCAGGACGAGCAGCCCCAGCACCCCCAACTCCAGCCGAGCCACTAGGACGGCGAAAGCGCCGGACGTACCAGTCACGAAGCTGCTGCGGTGTGAGAGACTGCTCAGCACCCCGAACCGGAGCAACCCAGACGCAGTAACCCGAGGCTCCGTAGGCTCAGTAGCAACACCCCCAGGCTCAGTACCCGCAGGCTCAGTACCCGCAGGCTCAGCACCCCCAGTCGCAGCACCCCCAGGCTCAGCACCCCCAGGCGGCAAACTCTCAGGCACAGTACCCTCAGCTCCAGCACCCGTAGTCCCAGCACTCCCAGGCCCCGCACCCGCAGGCTCAGCACCCCCAGGCTCAGCACCCCCAGGCTCCGTACTCTCAGGCACCGTACCCTCAGCTCCAGCACCCTCAGTCCCAGCACCCGCAGCCCCACCCCCCCCAGGCCCAGCACCCCCAGGCTCAGCACCCCCAGGCTCAGCACTCCCAGCAGCACCACCCGCAGCAGCACCTGAGTCACCTGTGACCTCGACAGGCTCAGCGACGGGAGGAGGGTCTACCTGAGAGACACCTGAAGGAGCAGGACCCTGAGGGGGAAGGGGGTCTACCGGAGGGGGACCAGGAGCAAGGAAAAGCGGCGGGGGAGGGAGGGGGGCAGTGCGGTAGGGGAAGAGATGGTAAAAAGGGACCGACTCGTCAAAGGTGACATCCTGAGAGGCGAAGACCCGGCGCGAGGTGGGGTGGTAAAACTGCCAGCCAGGCGCGTCAGGGACAAAGCCAAGGAAGACACAGGGAAGCGTGCGGGAGGAGAGCTTGTCCGCGGACGTATCGCGGACAAGGGCACGAGCACCCCACACCCGGAAGCGCGACGCATCGCCAACCTCCCCCGTCCAACGCAGTGTGGGCGAGGTCTCCGGCAAGGAGACACGGGGCCAGAGGTTGAGCTGATGCGCGGCGTACCGGACAGCAAACGGCCACAGAAAATGGGGAGCCGCCGCGTGGACCAAGGAGGTACGAGCGACCTCCATGACCAGGCCAATGCGGCGCTCAGCAACCCCATTCTGCTGTGGGGAGTCCGGAAGCGTGAAGGTCTGCTCAATGCCCTCCGCCTGACAGAAGGTCCTCAAGAGATCGGAGGAAAACTCACCACCTCTGTCAGAGTGCAGACGCAGGACAGGAAGATCTGTCCGGAAACGGCGGCGGAGCTGGAGACGAACCGTGCGGATCCAAGGGATCAGAACAGCAGGGACCTCACCCTTGGTGCGCAAGGGGAAGACCGTGGTGTAACGCGAGTAGTCGTCGACAACCAGCAAAAAGTACCGCTCACCGTCCACGAACGCGGGCTGGGCCCCACACGTCCAGGTGGAGGGTCTGCAGAGGAGCCTCTGTCGGGGGGAACGAGGAGGAGTGAGGAGCGGCGCGCTGCCGCCCCTCGACGCAAGGAAGGCAAGGCGGCGCAGGCGAGGCAGGGAGGGGAGGGAGGGACCTGGGAAGACCAGACACAAGGTGGCGACGGTGCATGCCACGAAGGCGTGGCAAGGAGGGGTGACCCAGGCGGTGGTGCCAGAGAAGAGTCTGGTGCGACAGGGAACGACACTCACAGGCGTGGGCTACCAGACCTGACGCAGACACCTGACCGACAGCAGCGACCTGAGGAGACGCAGTGGTCAGTGTGTAGAGACTCGACCCCGGCCGACGGGTAAACGTAGCCAGGTGACGGCCGGTCCTGGAGCACGTGCAGATCGCCACACGCTGTCCTCCAGGGGTAAAGGTGTCAACCCACTGATCCTGGAGGACAGCGTTGCTCACCAGGTTCGTCGAGAACGAGGGGAGGTGGAAACCCGACAACGAGCCAGACGGAACCGCCGGACAAGGGAGGACAGTGGTGGACTGGGCAAGGACTGGGCCCCCAGAGGGGTCAGCCAAGGAGACTGGGACCGGTGCAGGAAGCGGTGTGAGCTCAGTACTGTCACGAAAGAAGCAACGGGAAGCACCTGAGTCAAGGGTGAAGGTGTGACAGGCCTCAGCCGGTGGGGTACCTGAGAGAGCAGTCTCTGTGGGTGCTGTACCTGAGAGAGCAGACTCGAAACCAGCCGGGACAGCACTGGAGGGAGCAAGTACAGGGGGCACCATACCAGAGAGAGCAGACTCACTAGTACCCAGGGCAGCGGGCTCTATACCTGGGTCAGGCGGCACACACAAGTAACAGTCTCCCTCGGCACTAACAGTCAATGCATACATGGCAGCAATAATAGCATCATAGTCAAGAGCAAAGACATCGACACCAGCCCTCATGAGCTCAGCCCAGCGGGGGCGCTCAACATCCGCACCCATCTCCTCACGCCAAGCGTCGTCAAGGCGGGAGAAGCAGCGGTACGGGGTGTGGAACCTCCCACACGTCTGTCCCTTGCGGTCACCTGTGCGAATGACATAAGAACAGCGGCCACTGCCCCCCGACGTCCCACGCTGAGCAAGCCACTCACGAAGCTGCTGGGTCGTCTGGGGACGCTGCTGCTGCTGGGAGCTCTGGCCCGAGCCAGTGCCTCCACTCCGACCTCCGCCGCCACCACTACCACCGCTCCGACCGCCACCGCCGCCACCGCCACCACCGCCACCGCCGCCACCGCCGCCACCGCCACCGCCGCCGCCGCCACTACTGCCACTGCTTCCTCCGCCGCCCCCGCCTCCACCACCGACCCCACTCCCACCAGCGCTCCCGCCACCGCTCCCTCCAGCACCGCCTCCCCCCCCACCTCCCCCACCTCCTCCCCCCCCAGCGCCACCACCACCACCCTTGCCCCCCTTGCCCTTGCCGGTGCGGCGCCTCCCACCAGGAGCAGAAGCAGCGCCAACAGACTCAGCACCAAGGAAGTCAACAGCAGCAGCAGCAGTGTAGGAGGGAGCGAGGGGAGAGGGAGAACACCCCTCAAAGATGGGGGTGCGAGGAGCGCCACGAGCAGCACCGACAGCTACAATGCTCTTTTCGGCCGCGAGCAGCTGCTCCTCTAGGAGGGCGACTGTGAGCTCAGTGGGACAGCGAGCAAGGAAGTGGTCTCGAACTGAGCGGAGGGTGTCAGGGAGACGGGTGACTATGAAGTGGAGTGTCCAGTACAGTGGAGGGGGGTTCTTAGCGCAGAACTCGGTGGGAAGGGCGGCACGCAGGCGAGCATCACTAGTGCGAAGGTGGGTGATAAGATCGGCGACTGTAGTAAAGGTGGACAGATCGGGGAACAGGTACGGCAGCATGAGGCGGCTAAGCTCGGCTGTGGCAGGCGAGGAGTAGCGAGCAACGACAGCATCGTACAGGGCCTTAGCGGATTTGCAGTCGCCAAAATGCTCGAGCTCAGCTAGCGGCAGGTGACTGCGAATGGCTAGGCGAGCAGCTGCGTCACGAGTCTGCCAGTGGGAACGAACACTAAGCTCGGCTGTGGCAGCAGGAGCAGCGGCAGCACCAGACGCGTAGTCATAGAGGGAGATGTGGTCCGTGCTATTGCTCATAAGATACAACTGCAGGTCGTCGAGCCAGGAAGTGAACTGCACGGGACGGCCCTCAGCATCGAAGGAAAGAACGCGAATAGAGGCCATAGCTCAGGCGTGAGGGCACAGCAGAGCAGCGGCAGCAGCAGAGGGGACGCGCTAGAGCGAAGATAGCAGCCACAGCAGGAGCAAGCGGCGGTGCACAGGCAGGGAGCAGCAGGCGAGAAGCGCGGCGGGCGACGCAGCAAGCGGGCAGTGAGGCAGCGGGCGACGCTGCGAAGCAGGTAGCGGGCGGGCGGGCGGCGCTGCGAGCGGGCAGCGAAGCGGGCGGGCTGCGAAGCGGGCGGGCCGCGAAGCGGGCAGCGAGCGGGCGGGCGGGCTGCGAAGCGGGCAGCAGGGCGAGCGGGCAGCGAAGCGGGCGGGCCGCGAAGCGGGCAGCGAGCGGGCGGGCGGGCTGCGAAGCGGGCGGGCCGCGAAGCGGGCAGCGAGCGAGCGGGCTGCGAAGCGGGCGGGCCGCGAAGCGGGCAGCGAGCGGGCGGGCGGGCTGCGAAGCGGGCAGCGGGGCGAGCGGGCTGCAGAGCGGGCGGGCCGCGAAGCGGGCAGCGAGCGGGCGGGCGGGCTGCGAAGCGGGCGGGCCGCGAAGCGGGCAGCGAGCGGGCGAGCGGGCTGCGATGCGGGCGGGCCGCGAAGCGGGCAGCGAGCGAGCGGGCGGGCTGCGAAGCGGGCAGCGGGGCGAGCGGGCTGCGAAGCGGGCGGGCCGCGAAGCGAGCAGCGAGCGGGCGGGCGGGCTGCGAAGCGGGCAGCGGGACGAGCGGGCTGCGAGCGGGCGGCTCGGCGGGCGGGCGACACTGCGAGGGGCGCGCGAGGGCGCTAGTGAGGGGCGCGCGAGGGCGCTAGTAAGGGGCGCGTGAGGGCGCTGACGAGGGGCGCGCGAGGGCGCTAACGAGGGTGCGCGCGAGGGCGCTAACGAGGGGCGCGCGAGGGCGCTAACGAGGGCGCACGAGGGCGCTACGAGGCTAGGGCACGGGGTAGCGTGGTAACCGCATGCGAGCGGTGGTGGGCCCTTAAAAAAAAAAAACGGTCGGCAGGTCCTAGGGACCTCCTGCTCTGAATACCATCTCAGAAGAACTAGGCAAGAATGAATGAACTAGCAGAAGTTTGGGTACAAATATGAAACCCTAGTTGGGGTTGTACCCCATATTGGCTACCCCACTACAGCCTACAAGCATAATACAGTTTAACACCACGAACTCACTCTCAAATTGCTGCGACTCTGGTAACTCTTCGCTAATCCGGACGGTCCACATTTCGGACCGTCCGGAACAAAAATAGGCAAAATGGTTACACGCCCTAAGAGACGAGGGACATGTGAACCGAGAGACATGAAAGACGAGCGATATGTGAATCGAGAGACATGAGAGACAAGGGACATGTGAACCGGGCGACATGAGAGACGAGCGACATGTGAACCGAGAGACATGAGCACGAGCGAGATATGAACTAAGAGACACAAAGGCAAGTGAAGCGAACGACATGAGTGTCGAGAGACATGTGAACTGAGAGACATGAGAGACCAGGGACATGTGAACCGAGAGACATGAGAGACGAGCGACATGTGAACCGAGAGACATGAGAGACGAGCGACATGTGAACCAAGAGACATGAGAGATGAGCGACATGTGAACCAAGAGACATGAGACACGAGCGACATGTGAATCGAGAGACATGGGAGACGAGGGACATGTGAACCGAGAGACATGAGAGATGAGCGACATGTGAACCGAGAGACATGAGACATGAGCGATATATGAACCAAGAGACACAAGGGCAAGTGAAGCGAACGACATGAGAGACAAGCGACATGTGAACCGAGAGACATGAGAGACGAGGGACATGTGAACCGAGAGACATGAGAGACGAGCGACAGGTGAACCGAAAGAATAGAGACACAAGCGACATGTGAACCGAGAGGAACGAGGACAAGTGAAGCGAAAGACATGAGACACAAGCGACATGTGAACCGAAAGACATGAAAGACGAGCGACATGTGAACCGAGAGACATGAGAGACGAGCGACATGTGAACGGACAGACATGAGACATGAGCGATATATGAACCGAGAGACACGAAGGCAAGTGAAGCGAAAGACATGAGACACGAGCGACGTATGAATCGAGAGGCACGAGGGGTATGTGAAGTGAGAGACATGAGAGACAAGCGACATGTGAACCGAGAGAAAAGAGACACAAGCGACATATGAACCGAGCGACACGAGGGGCATGTGAAGCGAAAGGCATGAGAGTCAAACGACATGTGAACCAAGAGAATAGAGACACGAGCGATATATGAACCGAGAGGCACGAGGGCAAGTGAAGCGAAAGACATGCGACACGAGCGACATGTGAACGGACAGACATGAGACGCGGAAGATTATGGGGCGGAGATACACTACAAGGCAGAGAGCATCATAAAGCAGGGCAAGGGTGAAGGAGAGAAGAGACAAAGAAGAGGCAAAGGTAAGGGTGACTACACAGATGCTTAAAGGCTGCATCAACAGCAAGCACGACGAGGGAGAGTGAGAGCACCACTTCTGGGAACATCGCCAAAATCCCAGGTCCCAAAAGCTTCTCGAAAGTATCCCGCAAGAGACTTTCGGGACATTTTGCACCCCTGTCTCGTAAGGGTCTTTCGGGAACTCTGGGGTGACGGTTCAAAGATTCCTGAAAATGTCCCCAAGGACTCTTTCGCATCTACCCTAAAGTCTTTCTGGGGACCAATGGGGACATTTCCAGGACGGTTCAGAAACACAATCACAGAGGGGCGCGCTTTGAGAATTCGCGACTCGAAATTTCGGGTGCTTGTTATGCGGTTCAGTTCATTCATGCCAATAATAAAAATGACTTGATAAACAGTACACCAATACACTCCAATATCTATCACGCAAAATAAAACCGAATGCCCACTAATAAAACAGAACCAGGACCACATTATTGTCACACCCTTGCAAACAAACAAACCCCTGCATAAGTTCATCTCGGTTTTGCAGCCCAAAGGGGGTACGTTATCAGTAAATAACTGCAGCCTGATCAACAAACTCTACAAAGTGGCACATTCATTCATGCACACCAATTCCTGCAATTAACAATTCAAACCATTAGCCGCATGAACGCAGAAAGTGACAACTAATGCTACCGTAAAAGGTGGCAAATAATGCTATATTTTTAGTACACACAGTGGAGCTTTGTACCGCATTTCAATCCTGCATCATTAAAATAGTTGTCATACAATTTAAGCGTTTAGCTGTATCTGCACACATCAAAAGAAACTAAAGCATTAGAGGTTTCTTCGTTAGCTTACGTACCAATGTAACCTTTCCCATTTGCCTGATTTGGCGACATGAAAAGCACAAGGGAAGTAAAAAATAGGACTAAAATTTGACATACCGTGATTGCCATTCTTGATTAAATCTGACCGTCACATCACACTCCCTCGCCTCGCCGTCGCCTGCGACGAAACCAGCGACAGCCGCGCTGCTTCCGACGCCAGTGGCGCCGCGTGTCAGAATGTTATGTGCTGTGTAGGCTGTAGTGGGGTACTCAATAGTGAGTACAACCCTTCTAGGGTTTTCTATATGTATTCCACCTGCCTGCTAGTACAACCCTCTTCTTCTGTTTATTCGTTCGTGCTAGTTATCAACATGCTATCAGAGCGGTTCCTCCTCGGACCGATCATCATGGTCCCACTGTTTGCTTCCACTGTTGTTCTATTAGTCGCGCGTCCCGGGCGCGTGACTATTTTTCAGCCTGTCGCGCGCCCTGGGCGCGCGACGTTTTCTGCCCGCCACGCGCCCCGGGCGCGCGGCGGTTTTCTGGCGCGCGACGGTTTGTGTACACCCTTGCGCCGCCCCGTCGCACCAGCGCGCCGCCCCATGGCACCCGTGCGCCGCCCCGTTCACCCGCGCGCCGCCCCGGTGCACCCGCGCGCCGCCCCGTGCACCTGCGCGCCGCCCCGGTGCACTCGCGCGCCGCCTCGTGGCACCTGCGTGCCGCCCCGTGCACCCGCGCGTCGCCCCGTGCACCCGCGGACTGCCCCTCTGTAGCCGCGGGGCAGCTTCTTCCCCGCCCCCCCCCCGCCCCCCCTTCTCCTTCCTCTCTCTGCTGCGAGTGCAGTCGTGGGGGGGAGGGTATGGGGATGAAGGGTATGGGGGTGGAGGGTGTGCGTAATCTGCTGCTCCTCCTCCTCCTCTCTCTCCCACTGCTGCAGCTGCCGCTGAGTGGGGGAGGGTGTGAGGGAGTCGAGGGAGTGGCGCTAGGGATGCAGAAGGGGGAGTAGAAGGGGGTGTGGGACAGGGGAGGTTGAAAGGAGGTAGCTGCCATGAAGCCAGCAGCTCCAGTAGTCCGGATGCCCTTGCTCCGGTAGCCCGTGAGCCCGTTGCTCCAGTCGCCCGTGGGTCAGTTGCTCCAGCCGCTCGTCTAGCCGCGGAGCCAGTTACTCGAGTAGTCCGGACGCCCTTGCTCCGGTAGCCTGTGTGCCAGTTGCTCCAGTCGCCCGTGTGCCAGCAGCTTCAGCTGCCGCCTCCTACCTCCTCTCCTCTCATAGTCCCTCCCCCTCCTCCTCACTTGCCCTCTAGTTCTGCCACTAGCCTTTGCTTATGACCTACTCATGCAATTGCTTGTTGTGTTGACTATACCCCACTTTGCCTATGGGGGTGTGTCAGAATGTTATGTGCTGTGTAGGCTGTAGTGGGGTACTCAACAGAGAGTACAACCCTTTTAGGGTTTTCTATATGTACCTGCTAGTACAACCCTCTTGTTCGGTTCATTCGTTCGTGCTAGTTCTCAACACCGTGTTCGCCTGCAGGCAGCATTAACCGCCCACGGTATGCCTTTGCAACACCTCCCACCCCCCACCCACCTTCGCCCTCAGTCGCGGCATGCAGCTCCGCGAAGCTGAACTCGCAGAGTGGGGTGAAGGGGGAAACGGCGGCGCCTGCGCGGGGCGATGGAGGGAACGGAGGAGCAGGGAGCGGGTAAATATAAGTTAATAACTGGTTATGGTTATAAGTGTACGAGTAGTTAGTGGTAGATACAAGACCACTAGTAAGAACC